TGATGGTTATAAGATATCGCATCTTTTCAAAAGGTTCTTATTGTAACAAATGGCCTAAAAGCACTTGACTTAAGGAGGAGATCGTACAGTACTTGAACATGCATGATAAAACAGGGCTGAGTCAGCATGGCTTTATCAAGGGAGATCAGGCCTAACAAATCTGTTAGGATTTCTTTGAGGTGTAAAACAAATTAAACAAAGGAGAGCCAGTGGATGTGATCTTTTTGGATTTCAAGAAGGCCTCTGACAAGGTGCCGCACAGGAGGCTGCTAAACAAGATGAGAGCCAATGGTGTTAGGGGCAAGGTACTGGCATGGATATAGGATTGGCTGGATGGCAGAGGTAGGCAGTGGGGATAAAGGTGTCTTTTTCAGGAAGGCAGCCAGTGGCTAACGGAGTTTTGCAGGGGTCAGCATTGGGACCACAACTATTCACATTCTACATTAGTGACCTGGATGAAGGAACTGAGGGCATTATTGCTAAGTTGGCAGATGATACAAAGATAGGTGGAGGGACAGGTAGTGTTGAGGTAGCAGAGAGGCTGCAGAAGGACTTGGATAAGCTAGGAGATCAGTCAATGAAGTGGCAGATGGAATACAATGTAGGGAAGTATGTGAGGTTATGCAGTTTCATAGAATCAGAATCCCTACAGTGTGGAAACAGGCCCTTTGGCCCAACAAGTCCACACTGACCCTCACAGCAGCCCACCCAGACCCAACCACCTGTAACCCATCTAATCTGCCCATAGTGTTCGGGGTGTGTAATTTAGTATGACCAATCCACCTCGCCTGTACATCTTTGGACTGCGAGAGGAAACTGGAGCACTCGGAGGAAACTCACACAGACATGGGGAGAATGTGCAAATTCCACACAGACAGTTGCCCTAGGGTGGAATCAAACCCAGGTCCCTGGCGCTGTGAGGCAACAGTGCTTACCACTAAGCCACTGTGCTGCCCTAATAAATTTATACATTGCGCTTGAGGCAGGTAGGGGCCGAAACTACAACCTCCGGATCCGTAGTCAGGTGCGTTATCCATTGCGCCACTGGCCCCCTGCGTAGGAAGAATAGATGCAAAGTCTCTAAATGGGGCACAGCTTTGGAAATCTGAAACACAAAGGGTCTTGGGAGTCCCAGTTCAAGATTCTACTTAGGATTAATATTCAGCAACTGCAACATTAAATTCATTTCAATAGGGTGAGAATACAACAGCAGGGATATACTGCCGAGGACTGGGCTCTGATCGGGCTTCATTTGGAACATTGAGAGCAGTTTTGGGCCCATATCTGAAGGGGGACGTGCTGGCCTTGGAGACGGTCCTGAGGAAGTTCACAAGAATGATCTCAGGAATGAAGGGCTTGTCATATAAAGAGCGGGTGAAGACTTTGTAAAGTTCAGAAGGATGAGCATGGAAACTCATTGAAACTTACAGAAAACTAAGAGGCCTGGACAGGGTGGACATGGCGAAGATATTTTCACTAGTAGCAGAGACTAGGACAGCTTCAGAGAGAATGGATGACCCTTTAGAAATGAGATGGAGAGGAATGTCTTCAACTAGAGGGTGGTGTATCCATGGAACTCACTGTCACAGAAGCTTTGGAGACCAAGTCATTGAGTGTATTTAGGACAGAGACAGATGAGATTTTGATTAGAAAAAGGGTATCAAAAGTTATGGGGAGAATAGGAGGAAATTGGGGTTGAGAAACATAGAACATAGAACATTACAGCGCAGTACAGGCCCTTCGGCCCTCGATGTTGCGCCGACCTGTGAAAACCAATCTGAAGCCCATCTAACCTAAACTATTCCATTATCATCCATGACAGCCTTGTTGTTCAACTGCTGCTGATAAGTCTCTGTCTTCAACTAGCCCACAAAATCAAACTTCCATTTAGATGCGCTACTTCCAACCTTGGGCTCGGCTCGCTCTCAAGTTCTCTCCCCTTTTGCCTTCTCATCAAGTTTATCTTGTCCATATCACAGTTTGCAATCTCAAACCTATGCCCAACTTGCTGATCACAATTGGTTTCCCCATTCACTAATATTTTTAAATTGGCTCTATTTGGGTACTCAGCCTTTTCCTCAAATCTGTCAGATCACCTTGGACACTTCTCTCCTGACAAACGACCAGCCCATTTTCCTTTCCTTTCCAAACTCCTTGAATATGCTGTTACATTACCAATTAATGTCCATCTCCTCTAACCTTCTGGATTTCATCTCTCCAATAAACCCTTGCCACACTATTGTATCAAAAATTACATACAATGTAGTAATAATCAAAAGCAAAGCATCCTGCTTTATTCCTCCTGATCTATTTTGCAGCCTTTGATGCCAAACCCCTCCAAACATTCAGCCAAGTGGGACGCATCTCACCTGTTTTCATTACTATTTTTACAGGCACAGACAGAGAATCATCTTCAAAAGGCTTATCTTTCCATATTCCCACCTTTACCTTGTGTCCCTGAAGAATCTCTCTCATCTTCCGAGGGAAAGGTGAGCAAGTTGATCCCACAAATCATTAGCATTTAAAAGAAAGGGTGGCTATATTGCTGAAATATACGTTTGAGGGTGATTGACATGGTAGATACTCTGTTTTAGATGAGATTAAGATCAGCAGACCTTCTAAGAGACACAGTTTTAAAAAAATCAGTCTTCTTCTATTTAAGATATGGAAAAGGAGGAATTTCACCCTTCAGGTGACTCAGACAGATTTTTATCTATGAAAAGGTAGTCAAGGATAATGGTGGGCTGGCTAATATTTGACCTGAAGTTGAGCTTCTGATTGTATATCTGGGCTGTCACCGAGATCTCTCTATTCCCACATCCAAAACATTGCACGACTCTGCCCACCTTCTGAAATCCTCACTTCAGCCTTTTTTTCAGATCTACAAGCCCTCAAAATATTTGTGGTTCTCTAAAACCAACTTTTGCTTTTAAATCCACAAAAAAGCCATTGAAACTGCTGGAGGTAATTAAGCTGACCAAAGGTGATGAAAATTGGAAGAAAGTTATGGGAAAGCAAAGGCCACAATATATGATCGATAGCTGGAATAGGAATTACAATTTTAAAACACTTGGGAAGCATCTTTGTCATAAGATATGTATTTCCACGAAGCTATCAGAGCTAGAAGAGCACTGGTGGAGAATTCATTCTCCAAAAGTTCAGCATAGAATTGGCAAGAGCTTTTAAGAAGAAGGATATCAAACTG